TCGTTGTATATTTATTAATTCGATTTAATGTGAAATGTTAATAACATGTCATTTTACTTTATCAGTAGTATCTTCTAAAACGATAATATAAAGGGTCTCATCTTTTCAATTAATTTCAGTATGTTAACAAGGTTTGTTTGTTTGGTTCGTTTCAAAATTATTTTTTGCAGAAAATAGTTCTTCCTGTCAGTTTGGATTATGTGCTTTTGAAAAAAGTATTATTATTTATACAAGTTAATATTTGGCTGTAATCGGCGAGAATCATTCGACTAGTTTAATTGTACCTGGAAAGGACACTGAGTTACTGGTGATCTTGGTGACTAGGTAGTATGAACAAAGAACCCAATAAACAACTGCCAGACCGAAGCTGCTACCTTGGCGCGGTGGTCGGGCTTGCCTATCGTGATGACCCAACCGAGCTATATTGGCTGGAACATATGTTCCTGTAGGTTCTACCATGCCAGGCAGGTCGATTGGAGAACGGTAAGACTAAAAGCAGCAACTCAAGGTCTGAGGGCGAAGTCGTACTGCTGACTGTAGAGGGGTGTGACAGCAGTAAGGTGTTTCCCTCGGACAACCAGCATCTGCAGCGATGCTGCCTTCCCACAAGGAGGGGTGGGGTTAGAAAAGGTCGACCCTAAAAATGTCACACCTCACCTTACCTCACGGATTTCCGTCTCCGGCGGTAAGGCCCTTTGAAGAACGGAGCTAACATATTAAAAATTTTCCACGAAAAGGCCGTGCGCGACCGGCCTCAAGCAGTTGTCCCTTGGGCTCTGCGGTCACGCTCCCAGGTCGTTAAGACCAACACTAATCCAATTTCCTTTTCAGGTTCCTCAAGAAATACCCTTCCACGGTGTGGGCAGCCGGGAAGTGACATCAGCCCTCATACCCGTAACAGCACACGAGACCAAGTTGGTCACATTCAAATCCTTCCTACACCTCCTAATACCTCTCTTATCTCCATGACTAACCCTCCTCACGTCTCTTTATCACCTCGCACCGCTAGGGCAAACGATTCGAGTACGCGGAACGCTATTCCTGGTCTCCTGAAACCACGCTCTAAACTACACGTAGGAGCTTTTAACGTCCGAACACTGTGCCAAATAGGACAGCAGGCTTCCTTAGCTAGGACTTTAGAATCCCCCGCCATCGATGTGTGCTGCGTCTCCGAAACGCGCATACAGGATCCGAGTAGCGTCATTCATTTGACCTCACCATGCCAAAATAAAGAACCGACTCGATTCACACTTCGTGTATCTGGAAGCCCTGATTCTGCTTCCCGTGGCCTCGCCGGCGTAGGTATAGCATTGAGTCCTAGGGCAGAACTAGCTCTCTTAGAGTGGATCCCAGTAGACAGTCGTTTGTGCGCTGTCCGACTGAACGGAACAGTAAGGATCCGAAAAGATAGGGACACTCGTCGTGCTCTTCCTATTCTCCCACTGACTGCAGCTCAGATGATGTAAAAGATGAGTTTTACAGAAAGCTTTCGGACCTTCTCCGAAAAGCTAGGCTCTCGGATGTAGTAATAGTGGCCGGTGACTTTAATGCTCAAGTAGGTAAACTAAGCGATAGGGAAAGACACCTAGGTGGATCTTATGGTCGTGGCTCAAAGAACAGATAATGGCGACCGTCTGTTGCAGCTATGCTCAGATAACCGCCTGTTCCTTGCAAATACTAACTTTAAGCATAAGGAAAAACATCTTTTAACATGGCGACCCCCTAATTCGTCCCAACGTTGGACCCAAATAGATCACATCGCTATCAGCCACCGATGGAGGGGCTCGATAGAAGACTGTCGCTCATTCTGGAGCACATGCTTAGATTCAGATCATGCTCTAGTGCGAGCGCGTATTTGTCTGCGTCTTACTGGACGTAGGAAAGACGCTGCAAGGAAACCTCTTAGGGCCCTACTTAATGATAGTCAAGCTAAGAGTATATTTCAGGAACAACTAGGAAAACAGTTAGGCAGCCATGTATGTGATGCCCACCCCGATGCAGCATGGAATGATATCCGAAAAGCTGTGGAAACAGCAGTGATATCTGCTAGTAAGGTAAACCAGAAGGTTAGGGAGCAACACTGGATCTCAGCAGCATCTATCGCACTGATAGATGCTCGGAAACTCATTCCACCTGGCTCTGAACATAATGAAGAGCGGAGTCAGCTTAAGCGCAAGCTGACAAGAAGTCTACGCAATGATCGCGAACAGTGGTGGGTAGCGAAAGCAAGAGAGATGGAAAAGGCAGCGGCAATAGGTAATAGCAGACAATTGTTCAGACTCGTTAAGGAAACCGGAATTAGGAACCCGACCGTTAGCGAAACAATCTCAGAGAAAGATGGACATATTATTCATTCTCAATCCAGGAGATTGGATCGATGGGCAGAACACTTTAGGGATCAGTTCAACTGGCCTTCAGCCACACTTCGGTTTCCCACGATCTCCAGTCAACCTGAATGGCAAGTTAATGTAGGTCCTCCGTCTCTTTACGAAGTTGAAAAAGCCATAGGAAATCTGAAACGAGGGAGAGCAGCAGGCCCTGACAGGTTTACTCCTGAGATTTTTAAGGATGGTGGTCCAGTATTAGCAATGAGATTAACTGAGGTCTTAGGTAGAATTTGGGAACTGGACGTAATCCCATCTGACTGGTCTCAATCACTGATTGTGCCAGTCTATAAGAAAGGACAAAAGTCCTCTTGTGACAATCACAGAGGAATCAGTTTGACTAATATAGTGTCTAAAATATTAGCTTCAATAATACTTCGACGCCTAACTAAAGCTCGTGAAGAGCAGACTAGAGAAAACCAGGCTGGTTTTCGACCTGGACGTGGTTGTATAGATCAGATATTCACACTACGTCAGGTTCTAGAACACAGACACACATTCAGACGCCCCACAATGGTAGTATTTCTCGACCTTAAGGCGGCATTCGACTCTGTTGATCGTGAGGTTCTATGGCAGTGTTTGTCACTGAAAGGAGTACCAAAGAAGTACATTAACCTTATAAAGGCTCTCTACTCGAACACAACTGGTAGAGTGAGAGCTTATGGCGAACTGTCATCAGAATTGATTACCTCAAGTGGTGTTCGTCAGGGCTGTCCACTCTCCCCATTCTTGTTCAACTTTGTCGTCGACGTACTTTTAGAGATAACACTCTCCTCATCTAAATTTCCAGGGGTTGAACTTCTACCGGGAGGTTCACTTGTTGACTTAGAATATGCTGATGACATAGTTTTATTTGGTGAAGACGCTGACAAAATGCAGAGTCTTCTGACCACTCTAAGCAACAATGCAAGCATGTTCGGGATGCGATTCTCTCCCTCGAAATGCAAAATGTTGCTTCAGGATTGGGTTACATCGACACCCGAACTAGTGATAGGGAGTGAAGTAGTTGAGTGTGTCGATCGCTTCACTTATCTTGGAAGTCTCATCAGCCCTTGTGGTCTGGTGTGTGACGAAATCTCAGCACGGATACAGAAGGCTCGACTAGCTTTTGCCAACTTGCGTCATTTATGGCGTAGGCGAGATATCCGTCTATCAACCAAAGGACGTGTTTACTGCGCAGCAGTTCGTTCCGTCCTACTTTATGGCAGTGAAACATGGCCGGTAAGAGTAGAGGATATTCGTAGGTTACTAGTATTTGATCATAGGTGTCTTCGAAATATTGCTCGTATATCATGGGACCATCGAGTAAGTAACACAGTTGTTAGGAAACGGGTACTAGGTAAGGATGGCAAATCAATTGATGACGTAGTGAAACTTCATCAGTTGAGATGGCTGGGACACGTGTTACGTATGCCCAACGACCGACTGCCTCGACGTGCGATGTTCAGTGGTATAGGAGTAGGTTGGAAGAAAGCTAGGGGCGGCCAGACCAAAACATGGCACAAGTCCATGAAGTCACTGACAAGTGGTCTGAGTCATGTTGGTAGGTGTAGACTACCTGGTTGGGGACCGCGAGATGATAGCAACCGATGGTTAGAGACCCTGAATGACATGGCTCAAAATCGTTTGCAATGGCGCAGGTGCATCCACTCTTTGTGTTCTCCCAAATTTTGATCTTATTCCTCCTTGTCTTTTTTTCTCCTCTCAAATTTATTTCACTGTATTATACTCTTTAAATAACATCTCCAAACACTAATCTTCCCGATTACTGCTTATACTCTTATTACCTCTACCACTACGGGATTTGAATCGACACTGCATCTCTGTGCTAATGTGGTGTGGCAACTCGAACTGATGTACGTACGTACGAAGTTCTACGTTGTTACTGACTGACTGACTGGTTACACATTATTTTTGTGAGTAGCTCTTGATGTTTTAACTTCACGCTTCCTGAGGCTTTATAGCAGAAAACGGATATCCGTAAAGTGAATTTTGTATTTTTATGAATCGGACTTTTCTAATTTTCTCCTTTCATTTTATGAATGTAGCATCTGTCGATAATGTTTGTTAGAGGGAAAAACTTACTGCCATCAAACCTCTGTACATTCGGTAGGTCAACTCACAACTTGGAATGTAGGTTTGCTGCTTTTGGTCTCACAGTTCCCCAGTCGACTTACCTGGCATGCTAGGACCTAAAGAAAACGGTGTTTTAGTCAATGTTAGCTTTATTATGTCATTATGGTATAGAGGTCCTACTGCCGGATTAGTGATAGCAGCTGCAGTCGATACTGGTGGTCGCACTACAATCTGTTTGATAGCGTTTAATTAGTGCTAACGATTAGGTAAACTTGACATTGATTACTATTTTTAATTAGATTGTTTTCTTTTATAATTTTAAACTAAATAGTTTCTATTTTCATAAATTTCCTTGACAATTTATGTTTAAATATTGATCATATTAAAGAGATACATTTTTATCACCGATCCATGTTATTCGATCAGTTAATTGCCATTACCCGAAATAGGAGCCTTAATTATTGTAATTCATTATTTTGCATGTACGAAAAAACTCACCGTTTTTTCATGTTTGTATGTTTTACTTCCTCATAAAAATAGGTTAATTGATCAAAGTCCAAATGCTCATGATGATCATTCTCCTCCTCCTCCTCCTTCTTCTACTACCCTTCCACATATTCCCATATCCCATTCAACTCCTGTTATATCAAGAACACCAGTAACAACAATTGATGGCGCGACATCACCAAACATTGCTTTCAGTTCAGTGCTTACACGAGATAGTAGCCCACCTACATCTAGTCGTCGGTCATGTTTTCGCACATTCATGCAGTTACATCCCGGTTATGGTATTTGGAGCCCGAATACCACTACAAACAACAATAATAGTTGCATTAGTAATAAAGATAATATACTATCACCTGCTACAATTCACCCACTGCCTATTCCACGTATTAAAGCTCCACCAAGATATGCATCACGTGCTGTAATTAATGATACATATATGCGTCGTATATGTCGTGATAGTGTTGAAAAATACAAACGTACAGCTAGTGAGATTTATCTAGCTGGTGTGAACAAATTAAATGTGAAATCGTCATCTCCGTCAATTCAATCACCAGCACCAACGATACCGTCTTCTGAATGGCCAAATAATTCAGTTACCTCTGAACACCACCAACAACAAACATGTAACATTAATTCAATGAAGACGAATGAACAGATCGTGAAGAATGCCGAATCATTAGAACAAATCTCCGGTTCTTCTGCAATATATCATCCTAGCAAATCATATGAGCCAGATGTAACCACTGATGAAAATGGCGACAAAATACCTGACCAAAATGTTTACACTTCTGTCCATCCAACCACTAGTTCACTTCCATCGTCCCCATCCATTTCAGCTTCATCATCCTCATCTTCATTGGAACTAATTGGTATAGATATACAACCAGACGATGAACACAAATTATCTTTATTATCCAGTGAGTTTGATTCACCTGAAGATGAACAGAAACAACAAAATTCTGGTGATGTAGATAGTGGTCTAGGCGGTTCCGATCATACTGTAAAGTCAGAACATCAACAACCACAAATTAAAAAATCAACATCTATTTTGCAGATGACAACAATAATGACTCCTGAAACTACAACAATAAATACAACTAATGCTACCATTCATACTACAATTAGTATAACTTCTCCTTCAACTGTCACTACTGCTATTGTTCAACGTGGTGAGGTGAACAAACAAGAAATTTCCTCAGGAATTATGGTTTATGTAGATGAAGAACATGGAGTAAATGTTAGCACGAATAATAACTCTTGTGAGTTTTTTTCCTGCAGATCCCTATACTCATAAATAAATACTTTGATTTAAGTATTGCCGCCTTGTTGTTATGAGTAAATGAAGACCGTTTATTGTAGTATCCACTTTTTAAATGACAGTGAACAATTCAAATTGTCTTGTTAGATGAAGACTATCGTTTGAATGTCACCAACAGAACTGGTACTGCTAATATTCGTTTTTTATTATATACTTGTTACAAACTTATGCCTGCAATCATTTTCACGCCGTTATAGTGTGATCATAGAATTTAAGTTATTTAAAACTGTTATTTACTTCACTTATCTAATCAATTTCATAACAATTATTTAGTATCTATTTGTACTAAGTGGAACTTAGATAATTTGAAACTTCTCCTAGAAAATGTCATGAAAGTGAGTAGTTTTAGCTTTGTAGACCAAATATCTAACTAAACCCCTTTTCTATTGTAATAGAACAGGGCTCAATAAATTAGTATACTTGCCTGATAATGACAATTCTGAATATGCACTTCTTTCCATTAAACCTCAGTAACACAGTCTTCATAAAATGGAATACTACCACTTTTCTTTTTTTCATTGTATAATTGACGGTTCGGTAAACTGTACAACCCATTTACTATAGATTCTATACTTTATCCTTAACTTTTTCGAACTATAATTGTGTCATCCATCTAGAGATGCTAAAATTTTATCTTCCTTGACACGTAACCATATAAGTGATATTAATTTCATATTCACTTTGAAAAAATCATCTCTTAGTATGGAACCATGATGGAAACGTACTGAAAAAAATCTCTATGTCTCAAGTTGATGAGTTATTTTGGTAGAGACATAAAGGAAATGATACCCTCATATTAAATCGACTCGAATTTATAATTTTAAATTAATTATACTTTGTCATCTGATTATCTCTATTTTTTCTCTTCAATACTATCTAGATAGATGAATTATAGGTTGATAGATGTTGTAAACTAACTACACCAAATATAAATGTGAATATGTTTTTATTCCAGTGATCGGTAGTATGGTTCGATAACCCTTATTAAAATGTAATATTTTAAGTTTATAAAGGAATGTAACTCATAAACGACTTGTCCAAGACAACTGTAAATGAAATTGTAAAAATCTGGTTTACTGTTGAGTTTCTCATTAGAAACCCCTGTCATCGTAATTGGCTTAAGTATCTGGTTGTTACCTAGGCAAATTCAGCTAGGAAAGGGGGCAGAGACAAGATATGGAATGAGTTCATGAAGTCATTGATTGATTCGACTGATCCGTACAGGCAGATGCAAACTATCTGGTTGGAGTCCACACGATAAAAGGAATCCGTGTTTAAAAATATTGTTTGACATGACCCCAAGTAGGTCGCAGTGACAAAGACATTCACTCTTCATCTTCTGTTGTCTTGAGTTTCAGTATTGTATGATACTTTTTGTTCATAGCATTTATCCCTTTTTTGTATTTTTTCTTTCTCACTGTTATTGATACTACTACTGTTTACACTTGCTGATCTTGTCATATATTTTATCTCATCTACTTGATGTGATATAGGGAATTGGGTAGGCAGACGTCAATAACAATCTCTGTGTTGATAATGTCTGATACGATAGTAACGTATTTAATACAGAGTTGTAAAATCAGTCGGCTCCTCTACTTGTGTTATTATAATCGATTAGGACTAGAATAAAGAAATTTGATATGCTAACTGTTAGTATGGAATATGAATATCTGTGCATCTATCATTTAAACAATTGTTTGCATTTGTAGACAGTTGTATGAAACATATGTCGTCATTTAAGTGGGTTTTTCTTCATATGTTTGAATCAATTTACATTTATGGTTATATATAATGTTATCAACGTGATACGAGGTAATATTCATAATATAGCCGGGTTATCATTGAGTCTAAGCTTGTGAACTCATAAGTTTACCATGTTAATATTCTTGGAATTTCTTTCGTCCATTTAAAAAAAAATATCGAATGAATTATTTTACTCATCTGTTTTTTATATTGTATTTTAGGTAATTACATTGAAAGACAAGTTAAATCTATTCTACGTAAATCAAAACCCTCCTCATCACCACTGACTTCAAAACAAAGTTCTAGCTTAGATGGTATAACTGAAACAACTCAATCATTAACATCTTCATTAGGCCAATCGAATTCTGTACGATTTCATCCATTAGCTTTATTGCTCGATGCCGCATTGGAAGGTGATTTGGAATTAGTGAAAAAAGCAGCTTCTGAGGTTAGTGAGATATTTCCCTTTTTTATGATTAAACTCTTGAGTTCATTAATATTTTGACCTCTTTAGGGTATTAGATATAATCTATAATTTACTCAGTAATCATCATGCTAATAATGCTTTTTTATTCATATAAGAATAAGCTACTAGAATTTCAAGGATATAATTGTTTATTTATTTCAACACATAAACATTAGTACAAGACACCAAATACATATGCGCTACATAAATCATTCGATTTATGTGAGCTGTGATACTACCCGGGTGCCCAAACTGAAGCAGATGAATTTCTTACGGGAACACACCCAGAGCCTTTGACCTAATGGTCTAATCCACAAAGCAGTGGAGCGACGTAAGGAGATGCAGTCTCATGGTAGCCGGTCACCAACCACAGGTTTGTACGCCATTCGTTCCATCAGGATCCTACAGCCCATGTGCACCATTGGTTTGGGATCAGGGTTTTCCAACTCCCCTAGGGGGATCCTCCATATTCGCCAACCATGTTAAAGCGCCGGACATTCGCTTTTCGTTCTCTCAGTTTCGTAAACAACACCCCTGTGGTGAAAGACAGTGAGTAGGACTTCCCTGGCAGTTTCTGTATGCACGTGGTCATGTGAGAGCATTTCGAGAGGGAGAGCTGACTCTCTCTACTATCGGCCGTACCAGGGGGTAGCAGAAAGCATATAAACTTTTCGTTTATACAATATGTTATAAAAACTGATCCTGTTAGTTTGATGGTGAATTAAATCGACATTTTTTAGACCCAATTTGATTCAAATGTCGCGATATTTCAAAGTATTTTTTCATATAATGACAGTCTCTTCGTATTCTTATTATTATTATTATTTGTGTCATCATATAAATTGGCCACTCTTTTGGTCAGTTCCAGTGATCAAAGTTATGTAACTGTCATAGTTTTATTAACAGTATTTCACATGTACTACTCGAATGGTTGGTAATATGCTCACCTTTTCCACAGATAAACTGAAGTAATTATAATAAATATATATTTTGTGATGTATCCCAATGAGTAGAAAACTATTTCTAACATTTCGTGACTTAATGTAAGCCACTTCATAACAAATAAATAAGGTAGATATAGAAATGGATGATGGCTAACAGTGAGATTCAGGATGTACATTTCATCTTCAGTCAGTCAGCCACAACGTAGGACCAGGCACATATGTGCATCGGTCCAAGTTGCCACACCTCATTAGCACAACAAAATGAACACCAAATTCATAGCATTACTTACTTCGATGGTGGTAATATATAAGGATATAATACAGGTAGAAAGAAGTAGTTCGTAGAAAGAAAGATATGAAATAATGTTAATCTCATAGTTTAAGAGAAGACAAAGAGTGTATACACCGACGCCATTCTGATCGATTCTGAGCCATGTCACACAGATTCTCCAACCACTGGTTACGATAGTCACGCGGACCCCAACCAAGTAGTCTGTATCTACCAACATGGCTAAGACCAGAAGTTAGTGACCTTAAGCACTGATGCCACATTTTGGTTTGGCTTCCCCTAACTTTCTTCCAACCATCCCCAACACTAGTCAGCATTGCGCGTCGTGGTAATTGGTGTTCAGGCAAACGCAACACGTAACCCAACCATCTCAGTCGATCAAGATTCACAACCACATCAACTGATTTATCGTCATTCACTAATAACCTGCGTCTAACCTCACTATTACTTACCCGGTACATTTCATCCTATCTGGGACTCGTCAGTCAGCTATACTTGCATCCCAGAATTCATGTTCATTCCGGGACTGGAACCTAGTACCGTTCGTTTCAAACGCCATCATGTTATCCACTTAATCACTAAGTTCAGATAGCCACTGGTTTTTGCAATCGGATAAAGTTTAATTCATTTGTATTTATTGTTTAAATCTAACCATTGATGCTTCGTATTGCAATTGGTCAGTCTCTTCCATTGCTAGCTACGATCCATCTCTGCCTATAATGCTTGTGAATTGATGGCATTATCGAGGTAATCCTCACAGGATGCATATATGGCAAAGAGAGACTGATAAATTGCAATCTTAAACATCAATGAGTAGATTCAAACAACCAATACAAACGAATCAAATTAATGTTTGGAATCTTTATGCTAAGTACACTTCAAATGTCACTTTGTAAATTGTTTATTTTATATTAGTATTGCAATCTTAAACATCAATGAGTAGATTCAAACAACCAATACAAACGAATCAAATTAATGTTTGGAATCTTTATGCTAAGTACACTTCAAATGTCACTTTGTAAATTGTTTATTTTATATTAGTATTTTGTACATATTTTTGGAAATCAAGGTTTCGTAGTACAAATATTTGACTCCCAATTAATTTGTTATTTGTATTCACTCATTATGTTTCCTTAGTTTGTTTGTTCGATTTCCCATTTAAAAAAATAGGTAACTGATGTTTCTGAATCAAATGATGAAGGTATTACAGCATTACATAATGCCGTATGTGCTGGCCGTGTGGATGTAGCTGAATTTCTTGTACTTACAGCTGGTGCTGATGTAAATGCAGGTGATACAGATGGTTGGACACCACTTCATTGTGCTGCATCTTGCGGAAATGTACCTTTAGCCAAATTACTAGTTGAACACGGGGCTTCATTACACGCTCGTACTTTATCGGATCAGGAAACTCCTTTGGAAAAGTGTGATCAAGGAGATGAAGAAGCTGAATGTGAAGAATATCTGTATTGTAAGTGATGTGTTTATTCTGTGTAAATTGTTCTCACTTCCATAGATTTATTAACTACTTTGTTTTAACAGACTTCTTGAAAATAACATAAATTTTAAGATAAACCTGAATCAACTCCTACTTGAATAATCATTCTTTTCATGATTGATTTGAAGTACAAATTCACTATCATTTTTACTCTTTCTCTTGGTTTGGTATTCGAGCTGTTTGAATTTTTCATATTTTTAGAGATTCTTCTCTATCACTGCTGATGTAATATTAGTGTTTTCAGATCCCTATCGACTGTACTGGAATGTTGATAAATCCAATCATAAATGTCATCAGATATCGCTGGTAGTCATATATTTATTCATTAATAAGAAAGTCTCATTAAAATTACCGTTAGAATAACTTTGATAACGCTCTCTTTCTTTTACCACCATGCTAGGAAAGTTTGTACTTTCCAACCTTTATCTTTTTTCACGCCTATTGTGATATGACTTAAATAGTTTTGTATTCAGTTCACAATTAGATTAACTGGATTAATTCTGATAGTTTCTACTTTCCAGCTATGTTCATATTCATGAAAATTGTTTAAATGATCGTCTAACGTTGGTCGATTCATGATCTCAATCAAAAACATTGTTACATACATATCTGAACTAGTGTCTTTCAATCATTGGCTAGCTACATTTTCTATGGGCTACTAAGTTTCTATTACTTGATCGTTCTAACAGACGTTTAGACTTTTACAAAAAATTCACCCTTGTAAGCAAAAAGTTCATTATCTAATCAGGTAGTCGATATTTGTCAATTAATAATTATCTGTGATTATTGTTAATTAATCCAAGGAAGTTTATATATATATATATATATATATATAATTGCTTCAAAGGTCAAATAACTTTCCAATCTTAATGTTAATAATTGTGTTTGAGGTTGAGCGTTCGCGCGAAACCGATAGGTCCTGGATGCTCAGTGCTGGGATGTTCCATACTAGGGCGAAAAGGCCGTCCAGTGCTTCCACGTTTTCCATGGTGGTCTAACTTTAATTGACTCATGGATTTAACTATTAAATTACCAAGATCTTCAAAAAACCCTTTCTGATGATAATTATGTTAATTTTTGATACCTCAGTGTCAGTTGGTTTTTTAAAGGAGCAATTTCAGCTTATCTTGATAACCATTTATCATATAAAAAATTGCAGTTAGATTTTTATGTTAAAACAAATGGCTGTGGTTATTCACAGCTTATTCAATGTTCATGTTGTGTTCAGCTCTTTCGAACTTTTTTCACTTGTTTAGTGTATGAGTGCTGGATATTGAAGTTTAGTTTCTATTGAAGACTTCATTCCAAGTGTCTGGAGGGTTATCCCCAACTGTGTACTACGAGAATTTTGTCGTAGTGCTGCACGATATTCGGAATGTAGATCACAAATATAATTATCTGTAAGCCTTAAAACTACACCAACATACTGAATGGACGGATTGTCCTAAATTACTGAATACAATACATCTGTTGATCAGTGAAAATGTTAATAACCTCCGCCATAAAAAATTAGGTTATTGCACTATAGTGTTAATAATCCCCATTAACAAGAATTTAAACAAGTAGCAAGTTACAAACACTTTTACAATTAAACTATGTTTAAGAAGTGAAAAACGGGTTTATGCTAATAAATTAAGGATTTCTCGGTTGTTTGGTAAAACAGCTCTAATAATAGATGGTTTCCTGAACTCGATAACGACTACATTAAATGCAAGATCAACATTATCATCTTTATCAGACTTCTTTAAGGTTGATCAATGATTTCACAGTTTTAATCATGAACTGATCTTAACTAGATCACCATCAAAAATCTGGTAGCACTGAACGGCCGTTTTGTCCTACTATGGGACTCCTCAACAGTATGCATCAATCCACAATATTCCACAACCATATTTTTGTACCTCTATTTAATTACTATATTATCATTGTTGTTGGTATTCAGCTGGTATTTCAAGTACAAGTTTTCCCAAGGATTTATTTTAGAAAATCAATTCATTATTTGAGCGAAAAGTTCTAATGTTACCAGTAAAAAGCTTTGTAAGTTCTTTGTTTAGAAAACTACTATCCTTTAACGTGTAGTTCTTAGTTAAGACAGACATCTTTCGGTTTTCTAAATTGTTTTAAAAGGGGTTTACCGTGATTAGTTGAGTGACTTCTTTTTCGTAATTTTTCCTTGAAAAAACTACATTCAGTCCAACATGAACGTCTCGGTTCTGCCGCATCTGGTCGGGTTTATGCGCTCTTCCCTCGTGGAATAGAAGCAGCTGGACCAGGTTCCATGGATGCTCATTTAGAACCAGATGAATTGCCACTTAAACCAAACGAACTCCTTACTATAGTTAATCGTGAGCCACCTGGTGAAATAGAATGGATGTTAGCTGAAAATTGTGAAGGTCAACGAGGTCTTGTACCCAAATCGCATATATCATGTTATCCTTTAGTGCGTATACCACCATCAAGTTTACCTATTATGGAGACGCCTAAAACGTTTTCAATGAAATCAACCATTTGGAATGAATTCGACAATGATGATGATGATGACGATGACGATATCGATGATGATGCTAACACAAGCAAATATGATCATCAGCGTGAAGTGGAGTATAAACTTTACGATGAGGATCAGCTATTGCCTGAAAGAATATCAAAAATGCAATTTGTTTCTCCGTCTGATAATCTCGTCAATGATAATAATAACACTACTCTTATTACAAATGATAGCAATAATAATCGTCCTTATACCCAAGCTACGATTGAAATTGAAGATATTACTTCAGTTAAATCTTCATCAACATTACCATTTCCAGAAGTTAAACATTATATACCTCGTCCATCATCTGTTGATTTCACTGGACTTAAAACAGAGGATCGTCAGTCGTCAGACGAGGTATGTTTTCTTGATGTTTCCTATATATAAACTACAATTAGATTCCTTTTATCACGTATTTTGAATACCCTTTTTATACAATAACGGTATTATTAATAATAATGCAAACAGACTTCCTGACAGTATTTTCACATAACCTAATTTTATTTTCCATAATTGGCCGTTTCATTCTTGACTATAGCTTCATAAATATGACCTCATAAATAATTTGCAAATATTTACTAACCAAGGTCTCGTGTATCTAGAGCTTAATATACTACGTGTGCATAACACGTTAAACGGCTGAACATTTAATTTTCACATTATAAAGATGCTGCGTAGTCCCAGATGGGTGATCTAATTGTTTGTTGGTCGAATCAGGTTCTGTTTACACTAACGCCTTATATGTTGAATGATTATGACAAGAAATATACATTTTATGGGAATGAACCATCTTCAGGTATTGAAGCAAATCTCTTTTTTTGGAATAACCTGATTTAGGAATCTATTGATATAATTCAAAAAAGAATTGAGATGAAACACAAAAAACTAAAAATAATGAGTTACTTTTAGATTTGAGCCAATCTTCTTCGAATGTAAAGCTTTTCTTTTAGTCCATCTATCTGACCATCAATTACAACCTGTTGATAAGGATAAATGGAATGGATAAGGGGTAGAATTTTCACTGAAAGTTCCCCTTTCAGTAGTGCTCTTTTGAATGTGTCCACGAAGCACTCTGCCTGTCCATTTGATTGAGGGTGATAAAGTGGAGATTGTATATGTACAATTCCATTAATCTTGCAGAAATGCTTGAATGATTCTGCAGTGAATTGTGAGCCTTTATCGGTCACTAAAGTCTCCAGAACTTCAAAGCAACTAAACAGCTCAAATAACTTACTGATTGTTTCATTGACTGGCATAGATTTGTGGCCATTTTGTGAGCTCGTCCACTATGACTAGAAACATTCTTCCTCGTATTGCTGCCTCTCCCAGGGACTATTGGGTTTTTACCATTGTTGTGGTTCACACTTTGGACTTTAAGCTGCTTACAGGCACGACGAACAATTGCGGAATCTGGTTTCGATATCTTGATCCATTGTAAGCCAGTAAGCATAGCTTCGAGCCAACGCTTTCATCTTATTGATATCGGGATGACCACGGTCGAATTATCTCAGAACATTGTAGCTTAATGTTTTTGGAACAACAATTTTGTCACCAAACATAATACAGGAATCGACCATCATGAGTGAGTCCCGTCGACGAAAATATTATAGCACTTCCTTTGAAAACGACGGTTCGGCCAGTTGGTGTGAAGGTAACCACTAACTTCGCTTAATGTCTTGTCATTTTCCATGGCTTCTTTGATGGCCTTGAAAGTAACTGGTAAACCATCGACGGCGTCTTCCAATACTCGATGTACTTCTGTTTCCGTCTCGATTGCTGCCACCAAAGTGTCTTCTTGTTTTACTTGTGAACCAATCATTTTAGATAAAGCGTCAACTTGTCCAAAGTCTGTAGTGGGCTGGTACTTAATCTTGAAGTCATAACCCAAGAGTGTAGTTCCCCAACGTTGCAGTCTGTTTGCTGTGTATATCGGGATACCTTTCGTCGACCCAAAAATGGCTAGTAATGGTTTATGGTCAGTTAATAGGGTGAAATGACGTCCAAATATCATCTTGTGAATTTTCGTTACAAGGAAGTTAATCGACAATGCTTCCTCCTCGATCTGGTTGTAGTTACATTCTGCTGACGTTAACGATCTAGCCGCATGTGATATGGCTTTCTCAGATCCATCTGGCATGATGTGAGAAATAATTGCTCCTATACCGTAGTTTGAAGCATCTGATGCTACAACAGTGGGTAAAGATGGATCGTAATGGGTGAGCAACAAATCCGAAATTAGTATTTTCTTGATTGGCTTGGCAAGTTACAGATCAATTCAATTTTACATTCTTCGCCAGAAGGTTATTTAAAGGGGCACGTAATTGATGAAGGTTAGGGATCAAAGCTTCATAATGACTGACTAGTACCAAAAATGATCGAAGTGTGGAGACGTCCGTCGGTCTAGGCATAGCTTTCACTGCCTGAGATATTCTCTGTATCTAGTCTTCTGTCATCTTTGTCGACTATAAATCCGAGGTAGCGTACCTTTTGGATACAAAGTTTACATTTCTCTGGACGGAGCCAAAGTCCATATTCGAATATTCGTGACAGCACCTGGTCGAGCTTCTTTTCTAAGTCTATTCTATCTACTCCCCTAATTATTATATCATCCAGATAAGCTGCAAACCAAACCTTTTGAAACGCCAACCGCCACATAAATAGCATGAGAATGATGGTTTGACACTGTCATTACGATAATTCTGCGTGTTCGAACCCTGTAAGACTTTTCTCTCGACTGAATTGACGTGAAGGAACATGTTACCGTTCTCTACCATTGAGGTATTATGCTTCAAATTCACTAACTTTTGGCATTCAGTAGCTACTTCCTATAGGGTCATGTTGGGACAGTGTTCGAGATTGCTTAGGATTCTTGTTCGGATGTTAGCATCCTCGGGTGAACGCAGGCTACAGATAAATACTAGGCATTTAAGATGGTCTTCAGTCATGGGAGACACTTGAACCTCTGAAATTCTAGGTTCACAATGCCTGCATGTTTCACCCAGTCATCTGGTTCTTTCGTTATCTTCAAGCATTGGCAGCGGATATTAAATAGAGATGACTGTTCTCCAAAGATTTGAGACAGGGTTTTAATTGTTTCATCAAAACTAAAGTCTCGTGGGTTCTTCGGGAGAATAAAATTACTATAGCGTTCATGTTCCGTCGTCCCAAGTTTTCTTAGAAGTATTCTGACTTTTGAGGGGTCATCCAGTCTGCAGAGATTAATATAGAACAAATCTTCATGTTACTTAAACCAAGAATCAAAAGTTACACTTGTTACACCATCAAAATTAAATTCATAGATAGCATTAATTACTGAACCAGTATGTGATACTTGTAATTCACTAGAAGCAAGGTTTTGCTGGGACAGGCACAGAACACGAGAGGAAAGGTACGAAATATGTAAGGAACACTTTACTCTAAAGGTTCGTTCTTGTACAGAAAATATAGGGTTTTTATATTATTTTAGATGTCCGTGGGTTTTGAAAATTCTGGAATGCTTCTAAACATAGAAGCAGTATAGGTAACCATCCAATCAGAAACTCCACATGTGACTTTTCACTTTCTTGATATTTCTGGCAGAACTTCTAGCGAACGCTGATCGGATAAGGTGCTTCTTAGTGTTTTCAAAGCCTTCTTGGCTTTTTTGAGGAGTATTCTGGATCTCCAAACACTTTTAAATGTAGTTTTTTTCGTAAAATCTCAAAATCAACCGATATAATATGACAGGACCCCAAAAAAGAAAACAAGTATTCCTCTTAACTATGCTTTATTGTTACGATGGATAAAGCCTGAAGATTGTATTATGATAACATCTATGATGCATCTACAATTCGTCACCTTAATTTTTGATCATGATCTAATGTTTTTGAGTTTTTTTTATATTTCCATTCACTTTTCTTTGGGATATAAGTATATTATAACGCTTCGTAGCCTGTATACTTCAAAACATCGTTTTTTTTTAATTTAAAAAATCTATTCAAAATGAAGCCAGATTTAAATCTGCACATTCCTAGAAGTTTTCATATCAGTAAGCTTGACTATTATTCTTACTCCTTATTCGATCTTTTACTAGTCGTAGAGTATAATTCGATTAAATGTTAACTTATTTAATCTTCATCCATTTGGATTGTAATTCTAAACCAATTTTTGTCTACTTTGGGTTTGACAGACAAATAGCAAGCAGTATGTAATTCCTTAGTCCTCGTCCATAATTAATGTGACATGAAGCTTAGTACATAACCATGTGCAATGGGTTATCGAAGTTCATTCAAATCAATTAAATGGAATACGAACTATGGAGTCGATTAAACGTTTATTTTAGTTTCACAGGTCTCCATAATCAACATTATCACCCGATTTCTCATTCAATTGTTTATATGTAGTAATTTTTGGGAAAGATTTTTATTTATTTATTTGTGTTTCATAAGAAATAAGATAAATTCATTGTGTTTCTGTATATAGAATTATTCTCTTCTGGTCATATCAACACTTTTAATTTTTACAGATCCAAATATAAACTCGTGTGTCCATAGATGGTACACATTTTGCATAATAAGTTCAACACAAAAAGACGTAAGAAAAATACAAACATTTTTGTATTTTCTGGTCAGGATTTTCTCTTATATATATGATTGGTGTATTTAAATCACGTAGACCTTTGCGTTACTGAATTAATTGAATGGAAAATGAATGTTTTTAGTTTTTGTATAAATGATATTCAATTGAGTTTTGTCTTGTTGAAATTCAATGAAACACAACATTAGAACTTGGTAATTTATATTTCTACTTCATGTACAAAAAAAGCATGAACAATGTTCTGAGCTAATCAACACTTTTCAGCAATTTAGTGTTCTGGTTGTAAATGGGAATCATCGTTAGTTCATATTTTCTAGACTACGTTATGGGCTAATTTTTTGACAAAATCTCGACATAGATTCAGAAAGCTCAGCTGGCTCTGGCAGTTTGCATCCCTTGGTAGGTAGACGAGATATCTGTCTACCAACCAAAGGACTAGTTTTCTGCACAACAGGTCGCTCCTTTCTACTTTATGGATATGAGACATGGCTATTACGAATAGGTGATATTTGAGTATAGGTATCTTCGAAGCATCGCTCGTGTATTTCGGCACCACCGAGTGAGCAGTCTCGAGGTTTCGCACAGGGTACTAGGTAAATATTGCGGAACGATCAATGATCTAATGAATCTTCACCAGCTGAGTTAGTTAGAACACGTGTTGCGTTGCGTATGCCTAACCACCACCTACCTCAGTGGACGATACTGTGTAGTGTATTAGGTTGGAAGAATGCTAGGGGCGACCTAACCAAGACTTGGAATCAACGCATCAAGTCACTGACTGTTTTCCTGAGCCTCGTTAGTAGGTCTGGATTACATGGTTAGGGTTGGTATGTTTGTCGTAATTAGTGGTTAGAAACTTCGGGTGGCATATCTCATAGTCGTTCTCAATAGTCCTAGTCCATTCACTCCTTGTCTTTCTTTATAACCTAGTCCCCGAGATCTCATAACCTTTATTCTTTTCTATGCCTAATCTTTTCTAATTTTACTGATCTTGTTGCCATTTCTACCACTTGTTGATATGTCTCGAAATAATTTCATACATCTATGTTAATATGCTAAGGCAACTTGAATCGATGTCCATATTTGTCGTAGTCTACGCTGTGTACAACCAATTTACCTACTATAAATAACTTTGGATGATTGATAGAGGTTACTGTTTAGAATAAGTGTGGCTTTTCGTGTAAACGTATTTCATTGGTGGATAAGATAATAAATTGTTAAATGAGTAGTTTTACTGCTGACTATTGTGGCAGATAAAAATCAATTATTCAGTCATTTTTTTCACAAATCCTTAATTCTCGAACTTATTCTATAAGATAATATAAATTAACTAGGTTTAGATACAGATAGTCGACTATGAGTTGTATTCATTGGATAAGAACTAAGGATATTATTCATTTGTAATAATTAATATAGGTGTTGTTTATGAATTTGGGAATCCACTATCCGATTATTATTAACCAAGTTTTTTAATGCACTGGGTTATTGTGTTAACTTTTTACAAATTTATCAGCTAACTAGTTGTTTTTCCTTGTGAACCTTATGTAACCGCTTGTTTCTTGATGTTGCACTGTTAGTGATAATCATTACGGAATTAATTCATAGTTCTGCAATTTTGGAAATGTTAGTGCACATGACTAATCAATAAGAATATGATCATTCATGTAAGGTTTCGTACTCTATTTACTCTTGATTGTTTCATATCATATGCGCCTTTTTTCACATAGTGTTTTTAGTCTTAATTTCAAAATTATCCGTGCAACTTTTATTCTGGTGAATTATTAAAATTAATGGAATTAAGCAACCTTTAAATGTGAATCTATTCAGGTTACTGATTTTATTGTATAGGTGGTTTTGACCTTCCACGATGTTGATGCTTACAAACTGAAACTTCTTCTCTGGAAATGTAATTCTAGTGAAATATCATTCAAGTAACACTACCTAGCATATTCCTCCCTTTTCGTGGGAATATTATAAAAGAATGTGTAGTAGTCTGTTTAGAATGACTGAAATTCTTGGTTAATTCGAGCTACAGATCATTTTAAATTATTTCTAAGACGCTTTCATATCTTGACATATAAACAACTTTTCTCACATAGATTTGACTTTAAGACATGTCAGTTACGTACTCAGTTTAATTAGTCCCTTAAGTGAATCTGAACAGAAAGCAAAGATAACAACTTACGTGGAATAGTATAAATCCATTTCTATTTCGTAGGTTATCGTCAACTGCTCATAACCATATTCTTATTGAAGTATGAAATAATATTAGATGATAAATATTTGTGACTGAAAAATTTATATTTGACAAGGGTTGTTATTTCATGTAGACGTGTTAGGTCATTTGAAGATAGATCTAGAAAATAAAATGGGTTTGAGATAGTAATTATCTATAATTCGAAAATTGATAAAATAAACTGCATCATAAGTCTGAAAATTTGACGGTTTTAAGAATTAGATGAATGAGAATCAGGAATTAGAGAAAATGATAATTTGAAGTGGTTGAAATGGTTAATGATGATCGATAAGTGAAGCTACCAATGATATTTAGTATGCGCCCTCTGCATTGATCCGGTCTGACCTTTTAGTAGTTTAGTTTATTAGACCTAAAACGTTGAGGTTATTTTTTGATTGTACAACTCAATATGCTTGAACGTCTTTAAACAAGAACTTTTAGTTGTGACCTGAATTAATCAGAGACTTAGAAGACATCGTCACAAAGTTCAGACAACAACTTGCTTGTACGTAACATAATGAAACCACACTTTTTGTCTGTTAGTTATTTTGAGTCCTCTAAGAAAGTTGAAAATATTGCCTCTATCGATTAAGTTTCTAGCTATTAGACTGTTTTGCTTTGTGGTAACCTTCAGTTTTTTTTAGCATTTTGTGATCACTATGAATTGTATGTAATTACATGAATGAAGAAGGATCTTTTTTTAGAAATATCCAGGAAGGATCAACTAAATAAGTGAAGGAGATCTGAAGTTCTTGGGTTTCATTTGTGATTGCGTTGTGCATGGACACTACTGCGGAGTATTGTTCTGGTATGAAATAGCTACACAGTCCTTCTTGATCCACTATCGATTTTTAAATATGATCACCCTGTGATGTAATCTACAATATCTAACAGTTTGTACAAACTCTTTACAGTGACTACTGCAATAGTTTGTGGATTTTACTAATCACACAGATTATATATATATATATATATATATATATATATATATATATATATATATATATATATATATCGGTGGTCTTGTTGTTGTTTTCTCTGACCTAGGCAGTTGAATTTAAGAGCTTTCATTGCCATTCTACACAATATTTTCCACATGAAGTAGTAGACCCTATAAATGTCCAGAATGACAGTAAAATCTCTTCAGTTAAAATATCTAGCTCAAAGAATATACTACCTTATATTCACATGAAAATCTCTCAAATTTATCGCTTTGAGAAATCGTATGCTTTTAGGATACAGTCTAGTTTTTCTGTGTGTATAAACTTTTCGGTTATGATCATCAATAAAAATTCTTGCTCTTAATACACATTGCACATTATCATATCGGCAAACACGTATGCACACGAACATACATCCATGTTTGTACACCTATTATACATGTGTGTTTTGCTGTTGGTGTATATAACTTATCGATTTTTTAAAGCCACATTGTGCGTGTGCTGTGATGTGATTTTACGTAATTTTTTAACTCGTGTATAATACTACCAGTTTTAATAATGCGATCAATGCTACTACTATATTTTCAGTTGTCTTTTTCCTTCTCTTTTTTTAATATATTTTGCAGATCATTGATGCAGGTAATGACAAACAGACTAAAACAAATGAAACCTGTGATTTGGCGACAGCATTTTAATTAGCTTCTTGATTAACAGGAATCTTTGTACAAACACACACACGAAGTAGTATGTATTAGTACATACTTTCACATTCTTCATTCATGTATTCATCTCTTCATGAAATGTAATTTCGCAATGGTCTCAATTTTTATTCGGTTACATTTGTTAATGATAATGATATTTGTACACATATTCAGTCTCGGTGATATTGGACGGAGTGTATTATTATGTGCATGTTTGACATAGAATAAAACTAAGAGACTATGAAAATACTGTAACAATCAATCCATGTGATTATTATGTATAGAGTACAGTAGAAAAAGTGAATAATTATGCTACTCACTACCTATCTATTCTTATTTACTAATACATACATCTAATACTTATTGTTCCTATACCTCATAGAATGGTCTGGTGGAAATAAGTGATTTTATATATATATATATATATATATATATATATATATATATATATATATATATATATATATTTGAGTACGCTTTTATGATGTGTGTAGTTCAAGTTTTATTAAGTCTCCAATCTGTTATTATTCAATCTAATTTTCACTTGTTTTATTTACTTATTCACTCTAGTTTATTTTTCGTTGTTGTTGTTGTGTATTTGTTTACTCGAAAATGTACAAACAATTCGTATAAACTAATGTATTACGCGAAAACATAATTTTATCTTACTGTATAATTTATTTCCATTCTATTTAAAGTGTTACTGATTTTTTTTCCGGAAAAACTATTCTATTTCACATCCTAATTTAGCTCAATGCTATAAATTGATTATTCGATGTGTTTCTTTTTATAACCGATATGTATGGTTTTACGGGTTTTTGTTCGTGTGTAATGGGAATCCGTTTTAAAGAAATCTTAAATCAACTCAGTCGATTTGTTTTGTGGTGAAAGATAAACATGACTGATGCTTTTCTTTGATTGGTTTTTCCCACTACAATTGTTTTCCGTTTATACATTTAATTTGGAAGCAGTCGATTTTACATATACAAAAAGGACACAAATATCGATGTATACTCTGGTATATATAATCCAATGTCAACGAACCGTAGATAAATATACCTGTTTTCTTGATTTTACTTTATTTGTATCTTATCGTTTTTTGTTTGTTATGATTTTGCATAATGATTTAGTTATTTTTCTCTTGCCTAGTTTCTTTCATTTTCATACGTCAAAATGAAATAGTTTTAGAAATATTTTATGCTGCGTTATTATTTGCTCTTTTTTCTGGATTGCCTTCAGAGCACTGTCATCATCCTTTCTCTCCCTCCCTGCTCGAATGATACAATTACTCGTTTTCAATTTAGTGTATACGTAAAATGAACTATAACGGATCTCTTTCACTCTGATTCCTTTTTTATCATGATCACTTCCTTGGGTGTTCCAATCTTTTCAGTGCCATTTCTGATACCTTTCTTCTCTTTTCTGTACTTTGCTTTGTTTCTGTATCTCTGCCTCAACATTGCTTACTTTGTGCCGTACATGTGCGTGTGTGCCTTTTCTCCTCATTTTGGCGTCCAGTTTTGTGGTTTCTTGGTGTTTCCTTTCTCCCCATCAATTTATCTTTTCCTTATTTTCTTCGTTTCCAACATAGTAGTATCTTGTCTTTTCATAGCCATCTCTCTCTCTTCATCTGCTATTTATTGTTTTCTTTTTTCAAACGCTTGAGAAAAGACTAATAAAAATATCAAACAGATTTCTGTATTTAAACCAACATGTCATGTATCTGTGTGTATAGTTTTGCACACATTATCTTATTTGTATCGTATTTTCTAATCTACACCAGAATTCTCATTGCGTATATACAATTCAGAGAGAAACCATATTGATAAGATAAACACATTAGTTACTCAATAAATAATACTGTTTGAATTTCATTCTTGTTTACATTTAAAGTGAAAGGTTCATCGCCCCCCGAATGCCCTGGTACGGCCGAGAGTGGGGAGAGTCCGCTCTCCCTCTCGAAATACTCTCACACGGCCGCGCGTATACAGCCTCTGCCAGGGAAGTCCTACTCATTGCCTTCTCGTGGCGGGGGTGTTGTTTACGAAAATGAGAGGACGAAAAGTGAATGTTCGGCGCTTTAACCGGATCCCAAACCAAACCAGTGGTGCACATGGGCTCCAGTATCCTGCGGGAGCAAATGGCGTATGAACCAATCGTTGGTCACCGGCTACCATGGGATTGCATCTCCTTACGATGCTCCACTGCCTTGTGGGTTAGACCTTTAGGTCAAAGGCTCGGGGTGTGGCTCCCTAAGATAACCACCTGCTTCGGTTTGGGCACCCGGGCAGTATCACAGCCCATACACAAATGATGAACTCTTTATGTCTATGGAAATTACAAATGATGAAAGGTTCATCATCAACATATAGCATCGTTTTATAAGGATGAATTGAAAGTCAGAGTACAATTAGCACCATCGTTCTTATTCACTACTCTCCACTTCTACAGTGGTCTTGTAACGAATTTCTATAGGTAACATTTGACAAATTGTCGGTAATTCACTCCTCATCCAGTGTTCCAACACTAGTTTGTTTACTACAAAATCCTAAATTTGATTCGATGGCGGATTTATGGTTTTCATTATCCAAAGAACTTGAAAGTAAATCAGGACAGATTTCCAACAGACCGTAAAGTTATTTTGGTTTTTGAGGAGGAGACATCATAAAATTCATTTAGTATCCTATAAATAATATTCACCGATTTAAGGTCGAAAATTAAATTTTATATAAATCTGTAGAACTGATCACGGAAGCATGAAGCATTAGTTTACACTGCATGATGAGAAGCATGAGTTACGAAGGGAGAATGAATGTCTAAAGATTTTCATGAGTTGTTTAATTTGTTCAACAATCTTTTTACGTTGACACCCTGAAAGTTTATATTCCAGATTACAAATTTATAATGAGTAAGTGTTATCAGAAAATGGACCTGGTTTCATCGAAACATAGCTGGATTATGTAGGTCGCAGAAAGTATGCAAGACTGCAGAAAAAAAGTATAAATGTATTCCTTATTCACATAATTCACAAATAATTTACAGGACCTAATCTTATTGATTTCGATAGTAAGTGTATCGTTCATAACATAATCGACAATATGAAGAGAAAAATCACTTCAATATTTATAATCAATATTTCAAATGTATGTGAGGTAAATTCCAAACTAACAATATATCGAAGTTTATCATATACACTTTGAGAGAACAAGTCTATACGAGATGTTATTAAACTAAAGTGGAATAATATTATTTTCTATTATTGGATTCTATTCTTAACTTTCTGAAAGAACAATAATCTAACTAAACAAAACCGATACAAATTCTCCCAAATGGTATGAGTAAACGATCCGTCAATAAATTCCACTGACATGAAATATAACAGGGCGTTACTATTAACTTTCAATACTGAACATTAAAATTACCGATAAACTTACATTCATTTGACAATCTTGGAGTCTATGCAAGTTCATAGGTATCAATGACAAGGTGGGACTTGATAGTTTCAAGTAAATTGAGCATTGGGTAGAGATTTAATAATGAATATATATTTTGTCATATCCCAATGAGTAGAAGTCGTATTTCTGACGTTTCGTGACTTAATGTAAACCACTTCCTCGGAATAGATAAATAACTGAAGTGGCTTACATTAAGTTACGAAGTGTCGGAAATACAATTTTCTACTTATTGGGATATAACAAAATATATATTTATTATTTAACCTATTGATTCAAACCACTTTTGAAAAACACTGTATGTCACAGTGAGTTGACAGTTTTATCTTATGTGAAGATAAAATATCAAACAGATGAAACCGGCCATTACTATCCGTACATGAGAAAAACAATAATTTGATAGTGTTTATGAAAACGTCATTGTGATGTTCGGAATAGTGCGACTGGTCTATATGAATCGATTCTTAGTATGGACATTATACTTCTAAACTCAAGCATCCATGGCTTATAAAAATCTTTAAATTATCTTACTATCCCAAAGGAATTAGCTATTACACTACGATAATCAAGCATGTGTGAACGAAAATGGACAGTTTGGGATTTGAATCTTGATATAGGCGGTATTCAACTCACTAAACAAAAATTTATGTACTAGGCTTCGAGAAGTATATTTATTGTAAGGACAGGTTAAACTACCTGACTACTCAAACCAAAACCGACAGAAAGTCGGACCTTCAGCCTAATACTATTTGAATAGTATAACCATTAAGTCAACTCTCTGTCAATCCGAAAGGTAAGACTAAGGAATCGCTCAATACTGAGTTGCAGTTAATATTAGGTTGAACGACAATTAATTTCTAATAAATGTAAGTTTGATATCACTGAAATTCACAACTGAGTGATCACTCAATAGTAACCGATGTTATGTATGTCAAGTCCTTTTTAGTGCTGATCGGATTTTATCGATTAAGCTACAATCCACTAATCTAAGTGGCTCCATATCACGTGAACTATGTTGACTTACAGGTACTGTTTGGAAGTAGACGGCAGAAAAGTCTGAGCCTGCAGATCAATCGCGTCACGGATATTTCAATGGTAACGTTTCTAATTGTGAAGTTGGGTGACACGGAACCGAATTCTCAGGGAGCATGTTTGGAATTCGACATTATTTTCAATTTTAGAAGTGATCAACACAACTAGAGCTGGTAAGCATTTTTTAAAAAGCCTGATGGTTGGTTTAAATTTGATGAATACAGAACAATTAGCGTGAATTATACGAAAGTTCTAAGTTTTCGATTAATATTAGACAACTAAGTTGGAAACTACCATTGGTTCTAAGAATGATGGAACAACAACAATCAGACTGATATATACGCACTTACCTTATTAAGATTACTACCTTTCCTAGGAAAATATGATGGCCAACGCTTTATGCTAATTTAGTGGAGCTAAACCCGACTTTCACGCCTTAGAAAACCGAGCACCAGAGAATATAGCTTTTGGTAGTGAATAAATGTACTTCATGAATGCTTAAGTTTATTGGTTGAAAACTGCTGTTTTGAGTCAAATGGACATGAACTTGTTAATTACGCGGGCTATTTTTTACGAAACATTCGGGAATGGTTAACACAAGTCGACACCTACTGAAAAATAGACAGAGCATGGGGAATTAAATGTCGCTTTCTTGAAATCTAAAAGAAACTGTAGCCAGGATAAATGGCAAACAAGAGGCCAGTAGGACTATTTTTCCACCATTAGTAATATTACGAAAATACACTCATCACTAAAACGTCTTGTTAAATTTAAAGTATTAACATCCGATCAATTGTCAAATACTAACTGAATGGAACAATAGGATCACCGCCGGAGCTTTTCAAGTCATACCACGTAGATATCACTTTAAGAATACCCCTTCGTAAGAACAGCATGATTTGAACCCGAAAGATTGAAGAGTGAGAATTTTACTAGCGTACTTACATTGTAATAGAAAACTGTTTTCGACTGAATCACTGAGACAAATAAGTTTTCACTTACACATTATTTATGGGACTAGATGTTTCTATAATAAATCTCTGATCTAGTGTCACGAAAAATAAATAAGATTGTTGATAAGGATTTTTGATGCCTGATTAACAAGTGTAATGTGCTTATTTGTGGACTTGCCAGCTCTCAGAAAGGAATGTATAAAAAGTATGCTTGATTGTCTCTTTGACTGTAGTTCGTAGGAAAACCATCAAACACTCAACTAATGACGCAATATTTTAAGAGCTCGAAGGAATCTATTAGTGCTAGATGTTTAAAGTTTTAACAGTTTTGATCTTAGGAAACAAAATACACCGAGGCTTTTGCATGAGAGAGCTATGAATAAATAATTTAAAAGTGCAGGTATTATACATTATGATGCACTGTACTAAATTTATTAATGAATACACCTCAAACTGTACTTCACATAATGTAAAGCCTCTCCTAATAATCTGGGTGTTAAATGAAACAGATACATAATGTGTGAAATTTTTTGTCGATATGATTACTCGAGTGAGCATAATCAAAAGACGTAAATATCTAGTTATTAAACCGAAATATGCATCGAACGCACGAGATTCACGAACTTCCACCAATAATGAAAACCACAATAAAAACTAAAGTTTTTGGGAAAACAGAAGTTTTTTAAGAGTCGGTTAATCACTGATTATAAAAATGTACCATTTTTCATAATATAAACATAATTACCAAATGTGGTTAACCATCGGGATAGCGAAATATCTTGAGCTGAACAACACTTTACAAGACATCAGTTTAATATTCAGCAAAAAATGAATTGTAAAAAAGTAGTAAATTGGGTATTATAAGGATACACAGAGTAAATCTCATTGAAAGTGGAAAATAAAAGCCCTAGAGGTAGATAGAAAAGTTTAACGAAGACAAAAATTCAGACATACAGTAAGACATTTGACGTCGATGAAAGGGATATTTTCAGTATTTATTAACATTGAAATGTAACAAGAAGACATGATTACAATCCATGTGACTAATTTGAAGTAGAACACTTCTTAACATCTAAGTCCATCATAGAATCCGTAATCTCATTTGTACCTAATGCATTAGAGACATTAAGGTCGTTTGGAGAGCGTGTACATTCAACAACACCGGATGGTATTGAAGAATGAGAGATAGAAGATATAGGAGATGAGGGCAGGACATGAGGAGAAGGAGGAATTGAAGATGGGCTACTGGAGTTATTGGAGTTTGTAGCCACAGAAAAAAGTTGACACGATGGGCTAGAAGGACTCGATACTACAGGTAAACTCGGTGGCCAACGGAAATAGGGGAAGTCAGAATATGGATTTGTGCCACTGCTACATATCCGGACATCATTTTGACACGAAGATTTGTTATTTCTGTGGCAACATGAAGATTCTGGTGACCCCTCACGACTAACATCACCACTAGAACCTGCACCCCCAGACACACAAGACAAATACCCTCGTTTGCGTCCAAGAGCAGCTGAAACAAGCAAAGGACTTGCACCACCGGTATTGCTAAATCGACGGGGATTGGGAGAAACAGTTGAGGTTGGTAAAGAAGGTGAATAACACTGAACGCGTGAAGAGACAGGTGACGCAACCGGTGACGGATAGCAAGAAGATGATCGAGGAAAATGAGGAGGACTCGAAGGCATACCCTTACTAGAACCAGTGGTAACAGAAGGACCACAGTTGCTAACTCCGGAGCAGATAGGATAAGAACAAGTGACGGAAATTACCAGAGGCCCACTGAAAGAACTTGGACGATGATTAGGGCTGCTATTCACAGATGTGGAAGATGATGAACAATCTCTATCGCTAGATTCACTGCATGAAACACTTAGACCAGCCCATGAAGATGATAATCGAGAAGTTTCTGTTAGAAGTTTTTCGTGTTTTACTTCGTTTTCCACGTGGTCTTCAGCAGTCACATAATAATGTGCAGAACAACGTCTGACCGCTTTGCGCTTTAGCATTCAATTACAAGAATTATAAATGTATCACAGAAAATAGATTACTGTAAGTATAAAGAGTTTAAATGGGCATGCTTCTATAAGGCATTCATTTGTTGTAACTCAAAAAATGAATAAGAATGTTCATCCATAAACTTATTTACTTGTAAACTGCATATCTTTAACTAGGAAAGTGTAAATAAAATGAATGAGATGAACTATCCATACAAATAAGAAACATATGTAACATGGCACGTCAATACATTTGCTTGACGCTAAGAAGCTATTGTTGGGTGGATTTCCTTTTTACTGTCCGAATGTTATTTTTAAGAAACCACTAAAAACAGGAAACAGGATATAAGGTTAAAAACCCAAAATAAATTTAGATTATTCTAATAAAGAGCCCCAACAATTAAAAAGATTATTGTACTTTCGACTCGAACACCTATCTAGTTAACAGACAGTCAGTCAGCTACAACGCAGGACCAGGCACATATATGCATCGGTCCAAGTTGCCACACCTCATTAGCACAACAAAATGAACACCAAATTCATAGCATTACTTACTTCGATGGTGGTAATATATAGAAGAAAGATTGCATATAAGGATATAATACAGGTAGAAAGAATTAGTTCGTAGAAAGAAAGATATGAAATAATGTTAATCTCATAGTTTAAGAGAAGACAAAGAGTGTATACACCGACGCCATTCTGATCGATTCTGAGCCATGTCACACAGATTCTCCAACCACTGGTTACGATAGTCACGCGGACCCCAACCAAGTAGTCTCCATCTACCAACATGGCTAAGACCAGAAGTTAGTGACCTTAAGCACTGATGCCACATTTTGGTTTGACTTCCCCTAACTTTCTTCCAACCATCCAAACACTAGTCAGTATTGCGCGTCTTGGTAATTGGTGTTCAGGCAAACGCAACACGTAACCCAACCATCTCATAGACATAAAAAAACAGTTCATCATTTGTGTGTGGGCTGTGATACTGCCCGGGTGCCCAAACCGAAGCAGGTGGTTATCTTAGGGGGCCACTCCCCGAGCCTTTGACCTAAAGGTCTAACCCACAAGGCAGTGGAGCATCGTAAGGAGATGCAGTCCCATGGTAGCCGGTGACCAACGATTGGTTCATACGCCATTCGTTCCCGCAGGATACTGGAGCCCATGTGCACCATTGGTTTGGAATCCGGTTAAAGCGCCGGACATTCGCTTTTCGTCCTCTCATTTTCGTAAACAACACCCCCGCCACGAGAAGGCAATGAGTAGGACTTCCCTGGCAGAGGCTATATACGCGTGGCCGTGTGAGAGTATTTCGAGAGGGAGAGCGGACTCTCCCCACTCTCGGCCGTACCAGGGCATTCAGGGGCCCCAACCATCTCAGTCGATCAAGATTCACAACCTCACCAACTGATTTACCATCATTCCCTAATACCACGCGTCTAACCTCACTATTACTTACGCGGTGATTCCAGCAGATGCGAGCAATATTTCTAAGGCATCTGTGGTCAAATACTAGTAGCTTACGAGCATCTTCTACTCTTCATGGACACGTTTTGTAGCCGTAAAGCAGAACAGAACGAACTGCCGCGCAGTATACTCATCCACTAGTTGATAGACGGATAAATCGCCTTCGCCATAGGTGACGTGAGTTGGCAAAAGCCAAGCGAGCTTTTCGAATCCGTGGTGAGATTTCATCAGACACCAACCCATTTGGGCTGATTAGACTTCCAAGATGAGTGAAGTTGACGATGCGTTCGACTACTTCACTCCCTATCAGTAGTTCAAGTGTTGACACAGACCAGTCCTGAAGCAACAACCTGCATTTACAGGGGGAGAAACGCATCCCTAACATCCTGATATTGTTTCTCGGTGTTTCCAAAAGACTGCATTTTATCAACGTCTTCATCAAACAGGACAATGCTATTTGCGCATTCTAAGTCGATAAATGGACCTCCTGGAAGGTTGATTCTTGAAAATTTAGTCGACAACAACGTTATTTCCAGTAGTAGGTCTATGATAAAGTTAAACAAAAATGGAGATAGTGGACAGCCTTGACGGACACCACTTGAGGTTGTATAATCAGATGATAGTTCGCCATAATCTCTGACTCGACTGCTAGTGTTCAAGTAGAGCCTTTACAAGGTTTATGTATTTCTGTGGTACGCCTTTCAATGACAGACACTGCCACAGAACCTCTTGGTCTACAGAGTCAAATGCTACGTTTAAGTCAAGAGAAACAATCATTGTCAGACGCCGATAGGCATGTCTTTGTTTTGAAATCCGACAAACAGTGAGTGTGTGGTCGATGCATCTACGATCAGGTCTAAATCCAGCCCGATTTTCTGGTATTTGCAGTTCACGAGTATTTGTTAGGCACCCGATTATTATTGAGGCTAGTATTTTAAATGCTATATTAATGTAACCCCTCTATGGTTAAGACAGGAGGATTTTGACCCATTTTTATATATTGGAACAATCAGTGATTGAGACCAGTCAGATGGGATTATATCCAGTTCCCAGATTTTAGCTAAAATATTAGGCAACTCAATCGCCTAAACTGGACCACCAACCTTAAAGAACTCTGCAGCCAATCCATCTGCTCTTCCTCGTTTCAGATTAGCTACAGCCTTTTGAACATCTAGAGTCGGGGGACCTACTTCAATGGCTCATTCACGCTGTTTGGGGATGGTGGGTAGTTGCAGAGTAGCTGGAGGCCAGTTGAACTGCTCCCTAGTGTTCCGCCCAAAGTCCTACACGTCTGGACTGAAAGCAAATAAGACTGTCGTTTTTTCTGAGACCATCTCACTTACACTCGACTTGTTAATTCCAATTTCTTTTATTAGTCTGAAAAACTGTCTGATGTTAGCAACAGCTGCTGCCTTTTCCATCTCTGCTTTCGTTGCCCAGCACTGCTCACGGTCGTTCCCTAGACTTTTGCCTAATCCAAATCTGATTCGTTTTCGCTCCTTATCGTGTTTTAAGCCTGATGAGACGAGTTTACGAGAATCCATCAGTGCAATAAACTTAGTAGAAATCTACTAGTTTTTCGTGACCCTTTGGTTTAAATCACTAATAAATGTCGCTGCTGTTTCCATAGCTGTTTGTTTACGAAATTGAGAGGACGAAAAGCAAATGTCTGGCGCTTTAACATGGTTGGCAAATACGGAGGATCCACCTAGGGGAGTTGGAAAACCCTGATCCCAAACCAGGTCTGCCTTCGATTCGTTGGATAGGACTGTTCTCTGGGACTGTCTAAAAACCCTATATACAAACACCTTAGGCAGAGTGAGGGCATACAACCACCTCTCTCCATTGTTCCATTCGAGCAGTGGGGTTAGGCAGGGTTGCCCAATCTCACCATTCCTCTTCAACTTTGCCATCGATGACATTCTGGAAACAGCTCTGATGAATGTAAGTAATGGTGGTGTGGATCTGTTGCCTGGAGAAAGACTTCTCGACCTTGAGTATGCGGACGATATTGTCTTACTGTGCGATAATGCCCAAGGCATGCAATCCGCACTTAATCAGTTGGCAATCAGTGTCCGTAGGTATGGTATGTGCTTTGCACCTTCGAAGTGCAAAGTACTTCTACAAGACTGGCAGGATTCCAATCCTGTACTCACCCTGGATGGTGAGCAGATAGACGTAGTCGAGAAGTTCGTGTATCTGGGTAGCTGCATAAGTGCTGGTGGGGGTGTGAGTGATGAGATCAATGCACGAATAGTGAAAGCCAGAGCGGCTTATGCCAATCTGGGCCACCTTTGGCGCCTTCGTGATGTTAGTCTGGCTGTAAAAGGTCGGATCTACAACGCGTCGGTGAGAGCAGTTTTGCTCTATGCTTGTGAAACCTGGCCTCTCCGAGTTGAGGACGTTAGACGACTCTCTGTGTTCGATCATCGCTGTCTCCGAAGGATTGCTGACATTCAGTGGCAACACCATGTCAGTAATGCAGAGGTTCGGCATCGTGTGTTCGGGCACAGAGATGATAATTCAATTGGTGTCACCATCTTGAAACACCGACTTCGGTGGCTTGGACATGTTCTCCGAATGTCGTCCCAGAGAATTCCACGTCGTGCATTATTTGCCGACTCTGGGACTGGTTGGAAGAAGCGGAGAGGTGGTCAGTGCATGACATGGTGTCGTGGCATGAAAGAAAGCTGCAAAGGACTGGCTTGTGTTGGTCCTTCACGACTCCCTGGTTGGGGTCCGAGAGATGGTGCTACACAGTGGCTAGAGACGTTATCAGATATGGCTCAGAATAGAAGCCAGTGGCGATCCTGCTGTAACCTTCTTTTACTTTCTTCATAAAAAGTGGTTGTGTCTCCCTTACCTGAAAGATTTCTTCTGATTGTACCTTTCCGTTCCCTCATTACTACTACACTACCTTACACCAATCTCTTCGTTATTGTTCTCTTTTTTTTGCGCTCCCTAGCTTTTTTTTCTATTTCTCTTCGAATTCTCATTGTTTTATGTGGCGCATATATGTTGGCGCTCTCGTGCACCAATATTCATGTGTTCAAATAAATAATAAATAATAAACCAATGGTGCACATGGGCTGTAGGATCCTGAGGTAACAAATGGCGTACGAACCTACTGTTGTTGACCGGCTTCCATGAAACTGCATCTCTTGACGTTGCTCTACTGCTCGTGAAGACTTCACGAGTAAGACTTTATTACACTAGGGTTTCCTCTATTTTATTCCAGTCGTAGCTCGCACAATAGCCTTAAGTTGATGTTAGTAATGAGTGGATAAGGCAAACATAGTTTGAGTTCAGTGTTGGAAGACCACAAATACCATACAACCTACAGACTGTCTAAACAACGACAATTTGGTGCAAGTGACAGCTCTGTCACAGCCTAAATAAAAGCTACATAAACTCAAAGGGTAAATGTGGAAAACCTTTGATGCTCTCTAGCATAATCTGATGAGACAGTACACCAGGAAAATAAAAGCAATTGTTTCAGTGTTAGTATTCGCGCCCTGTCATCTCAACCTAGTAATTTACACAAA